GTTTCGACAGACATTTGCTACTGATGAGATCTGAGGAGCTTCCGGTATCTATGAGGATTCGGCCAACTCTCTGGTTGGCCACTTTACATTCAATAACGATAGGGTCGTCATGCGGCCCTCTTACCCCTCCTAGATCTTCTTCAGTGATGACAATCTCAGGAAATGAATATTTGGAGGGTCGTTCTTGGTGAACGGAATTTACATCTAACCGCCTGATATTGTCTTTGTTGCCCCTAATAGTGGGGCCGCCTCCTGAGAAGCCGCCTGCAATGGTGTAGACGACTGCATCATCTGTATCGGAGCTGTCGGCCTTTGATTCTTTTTGGCCGACTGCTTTTTTGAGGAAGTGTTCCCCGTAGATTTCTTGACATAAGTGTCAAGATCACCTTGCTCAGCCAGGCGGTCCAGATACCGCATGAGACTGATGCATTCATTGGTGTGATGACCAACATCTTCATGATAAGCACATAATTTTTCTTGGTTCCGACTGTTTGCAGAACCCTTCATGGGGACCGGCTTCTCAATTGAGATCCGTCCCTTGATTTCCTTTAGGATAAACTGGCTATCCTTGTTAAACGCATACTTTGGGGAGTATGGTTTGAATTCTTTTTTCTTTTTCTGGGCCGGCTGTTTAGAGGAATCAGCCGCCCAGACCTCTTTTCTCTTCTCGTCTTTGTTTGACGACTGCTTCTGTCGTCCTTCTCTTTTGTCGGACCTTTTTCCGTCTGAGTGTTTTACCGTACTACAAAGATCAGTCGCCTGTATATAAGCTTCCGCTTCAATCAAGGCCTCTTGAAGAGTCGCCACCCTCTTTCGGACCAAATCAAATTTGAAGGTCGACCCGTCTTTAAGACCTCTGAAAAAGTCAGTATAGGCTACTTCATCCGGTAACCCTTGAATCTGTATTCTCATCAGGTTAAACCGCCTGATGTAAGAACGAAGCCCCTCCTTCTCGCCCTGCTGAATTGTTCCTAAATCAAGAGTCGTCTTCTTCGCAGGGATGTTCATGGCGAAGTTGGAGGTGAATAAGTAAGCAAGCGTCCTGAAGCTATTTACACAACCAGTCGGCGGGTTGCCAAACCATTGTTGTGCGATTCCTTTGAGAGTCGCTGGGAAACACTTGCACCAAGTGGGATCATCCAACCCTTGAAGGTACATCAGGTTGGTGAATGCCATCAGATGGTCTTCTGGGTTAGTAGTGCCGTCATAGGCGCCTACTAATACATTTTTCACTTTGGCCGGCTGAGCGGCTTCAGTAATTTCCTTGGAGAAGGCCGACGGCTGTTCACCAAGTCTAAGCAACCGTAGCTGCCAGTCCATAGGTTGGACATTTTTTGCTGCATGTCCACCAAACGGAGGTGGCTGTAAAAAAATGTTGTTGTTGCGGTACAAACGGTAAGTTTGGTACCGCCAGGTCGCTATGAAAGCCGGACTGACGGGAGGTGCCGCCTGACTGACTCTCATGATACGACTGAGTATGCCTCATCGAGGTATTTCGCAGACTGTCTTGGAAGTTTGAAGTAGAGGCCGACTCTGACAATCGGTCACTCTTCTTCTGCTCTAGCAGTAGCCGAGCGTCTGTGTATGTTTTCCTCGACCCGTCCGCCTGAATATGACGAACAGGTTTCCTAGTTCCTAGAGTAGGAAAACGGTATTTTGTGAAATCAAGGGCAGTCGGCTCCCGCTTCCTAGATTTAGGATGAGGAGTCGCCTCTCGCCCTTGAACCGGCTTCCTCTTCAGTGAAGTGGAGGGTTTCTTAGCCGACTGCTCTTTGTCCAGAGCAGGCGGCTTCTTGTTGATCAACTCTTGAATTTCTCCCTTGAAGTCCCTCATGAAGGTCATGAGTTCGTTCCTTGTGATGGGAGCAGACCCATCAGTCGGCTGCTGCCGAACAGGCGGTGCGCCTGCTGGCTAGCTTCCAGTTTGAAGATGTTCCCGTTCCCTCCTTTCGGTATGACGGGTACGTCGGGCCCTTAGGGTCTCGTCTGAAGCCGTGTGAGCTTCAACTTCAAATTCATTCTCAGTATCGTGGTCCGACTGAACTTGAGGGTCGTCTAGGGGACGCCTCTCTTCAGGAGTCGGTACAGACGTGGATGCCATCTCAGAAGTACTCTCCCCATTGACGGCGCCAAATGTTTCGGGGTTTTCTGATGTCCTGCGGGAGAGTTACAATTCCGAGACTGGAACCGGACGCCTGTACCTGCAAAACAACGGAGACTCCTGGTGGTGGGAGCTCCGCCTCCAACGGTCAAGTTAGTACCTGATTAAGGAGTAATTAATGCGGAAATTAAAGTGATTGGGTCTCTCTAGGTGAGAGTGTTTAATGTGTGTAATCTGCGTTTTTAGCGTGTTCAGCATGTAATTTCCCTTAATGAGGATTAAGGGAGGTATTTATAACCTCGGGAAACGTGCCAATCTAGGTTTAGGTTAACCTTGGGCTGATTGGGCTTCCCTCGGAAGTTGGGCCTAGGTGACCGGTTATCCCAGGTGTCATGGGAAGGACACGTGTCGTGTCGTAATTGGTCCATGGTGGACGGATCATTGCTTGACACGTGGCAGGCTCCTATTGGCCCATGTGACGGACACATGGCGAAACCTGATTGGTCCACTTGTCAGATGGTGATTGGTGGGGAAAAATCCCCTAATCAAGCGACAGATAAAAATAATCCGTTGCTAAAACCAGCGATGGAAATAAAAATCCATTGCTAAGTTCAGCAACGGAAAACAAATACAACGTCGCTAGTCTCATTTAGCGACAACAATTTTGCCAACGGAGTAATTCCGTTTCAAAATATGTCGCTACCTATATTTAGCGACTAGGAAAAGTACAATCTAGCAACGAATTTGATCTATTGCTAAATGTCTATTTTTTTGTAGTGAAAGAAGTAACTGAAACATAACTGATAAGAACATTGTATTTTTTTAATTCATTTTTTTTTGGTCAATTTATTTAAATAAAATAAAAAACAAACATATCCACGGTTCACATTAGTCAATACAGTGGCCACAATTTTATTGTGACCATTTGAATGATATTTATGTGTTATAGTTTTTATTTAATTAAAGATATTATAATTGGTCAAAGTTTTAATTTGCATTCGTGCCTAAGAGAAATGGTGCACTTAAAAAAACAGGCAGAGTAATAAAAAGAAGTAAGAGTGGGATCATGTAAGAAAAAGAATATATATTTAAAAATAAAAAGACAAAATGTTCACTGGAAAAAAAAAATTGCAAAAAGAAAGTGACACACTTTTAAAAAACTGAGGAAGTATGTAACCAAATTAAAGTTACGTCATGAAATTTTATAATTTTATAATTTTAAATTAATATCATCAAATTCTTTTTAAAAAGTGATGTCTTTGGACAAGATCTAATCTTTTTTTTTTTTTTTTTTATTTATGTTTAAACTAGTCTTTAGGCTTGTTTAATGCCGGCCTATTACCTATAGGTTATTTTTCTTGAGGTGTATTCCTTTGTTAGTGTTACATGCATATATAGGTATTCATGTGATGATAAAATGCAATTATCGAAGATAATATTTATAGAAAAAACATAATTTGTATAATAAGAAAAAGTTAAGTCAACGATGAATGTAATACGTTTATATAATGTGCACAAATAATTAGCTCAAACTTTTTCATTCTAATGAGGAAAATGAAACACTTTATGTTGTTACTTAAAGTATGCAATTTAGAAAATGCCTAAATTTTTTAACATTAGCGGGAATATGAAAGAAATAATGTTAATTAATTACATGTACATCATTAACTTTATGAAAAAGGATTTAATATAAATGTTTTATTAAAAATAGAAAGAAAAAAAAAAGTTAAATAGTGAGCGTGACATGTGGTGCTATAGGTTTGTGTTATTATACTAAGTATAGATAGATGTAGATGTAGCCCGGTCTAATTTTAAGAGATTAACATGTAGCAAATGAGAAGTTTTTAAAGTCATAAGTTCAAACCTCAACATCTATCAACTTGTTTTTTGAAGTGATGGATTCTCTTACCTTCTCCCTTGCTCTTAAATGTTACTTGTGTATAATTGGGTAAACTAACTTGTGAATTCTAATAGGTATGTCTCCTTACCCCCGAAAAAAGAAAAAAAAAAATCATCTTAAAAAATATTCCATTTATCTACTCATATGAGTAATAAAATGTGGTCAAAGTTTGTATACTATGAACAGGTTAAAAATCAAAATAATGAATTTATTAAAAAGTAGAGGAGTTAAAATAATGGAATAATTGATTTTAACAGGCCCAACTTTTAGCCATCCATCGTAATCAGTCCCACCTTTTGATTATCTTATAGTGGATCCAACTTTGAAGGATTCTTCCTAAAATGTTCCCTAACTTGTTTTTAACGGGTTAAGAGTGTCATGTGTTGTACGTTGTATCGGTCAAACTGATGCACTGAAAAATGAAGGAAGTAATATAAAAAATTTGGGTGCATCGTGAGTAATCTTTATTTAATATTTCTCCCAAAAAATAAAAATTATCAATAATACTCTCTGCATTTCAAAATAAATGCCCTACCTAACTTGACTTATAATTTTATGCTACTCACATAATCCACTTTGACTAATGTTAATGATTTAAATACAGAAGAAAAAATATAGTCATGTGAGTACTTCACTAGGCGAAAAATGGTAATCAACATCGGTTCAAAACCCCCATTTAGCACCGGTTTTGAACCGGTGCAGATTTGAGGGATGCCAAAAACTATAAGTTTTAGCACCGGTTTAAAACCGGTGCCAATTCTGAGATTTCGCACCGATTCTTGCTGTGAACCGGTGCTAAAAGTGGCCCAAAAAAAAAAAAACTTTTTAGCATCGGTTCTGTTTCAAAACCGGTGCCAAATATGCCCCAAAAAAATAAAAATATTTTTTTTTTTTTTTTTTTTTTGCATTTTTTTCACATGAATTGCACCAAATACTTATATATAATCATAATATACATAAAACACATATATTTTCTACAATAACTTGTAATATTACACTTTAAAAAACTGAAAAAAAATAAAAAAAAAAACAAAAAAGAAAAACATATAAATTCGTTTATGGCAGACCATATGAGAAGGCCATCAGCAGCATAAGGGTAGTCTTCAATCACCAGTTTCACTCCATAGGGTGCTGTGGGATCCTCTTCTGCCATTCCCCTGGAAAATCATACAGCTATCAGTACAGCACCCAACTGTCCTCAACACATAGGTTCAGTTTGGTTATATGAGACATATATTTGGTAAACTAAGGTTCAAAGAATGAAAGGAGGCAAAGGTGCATGAAGCAAGTGGAAATAAGATAACAGTCATGTGAGTAATAGTTCACCTTCGAAGTAGATCAGCTGGCAGTGCCTCCATGTCAAACCGCCACATACTTTTGTAGGCAGCAAAGCTGATCTCCATAGCATATCAGAAAAGCAGATGAATGAGATATCCGAACTAGCCAAAGCAGAAGCAATCTGAGGCACTAAATTGTGTAAAATAGCTTTCAGTCTTCCAGTAGCAAATGTTGCCTACTTCATCTCCTCGAAAGCTTCATCACGAGGAACATATACTGGATGAGGTTTCTCAATTCTACTCGGCATGAATTTCCAATACAGAACAATCAAATTCAAGAAAAAAAAGTACCAGATATTTGAGTGTTTAAAGTTGGAAAAGCTAATTCATCCATAATCCAAGCCTTATTATCTATATCCACACAGGACCTGTTCTCTTATTGAACCGATTTACTTATCAAATGGTCCCAAATGCATAGATTGTTTGTCCAATCCTTATTAAACTGGATTGCTACTGATTAAATGCTACCAGACATATTGCTTGTCACTTAAACTTACAAACACTAATGCAGTATATGGATGGGGGAGAGCAGCTATACCAGATTTCATAGGTGGCCTTCCAGTGCGACAACGCCTTGGATAAGGTCGTTTAGAGCCAGCAAGAACAGGCCTAAAGAGGTCATCATCTTTATCAGGATTTCCCAAATCATTATATGGAGCATAATTATAAATCATCTCATGTAACCTCCTTTCTTCTTTCCCATCACCACGACGACTGAGCAAGTCCTCCCTTCGTAGATCTTTTATCCCAGGCGGTGTTTGTGCTGGTAAGTATGTCTTCACAAACAAAAATTCAGTGTAACATCAGATACACTATCAAGTCCTCGCAACAGTATACTCTATACAAATTAAACAATGCAACAAAAAAACACAAACAAAACAAAATGTGACACTTTACATGATTTCTGAAGATAATTCTGCTCTCAGGATTGTCATTACAGGAGTGAATCCATGAATTTGCCGGGAAGTAAACAGGTCCATTAGCAAATCCATCATGCACTTTATTTCCCATTGTCCTCTCCATTGCTGACTTCCAAGAGTGCTGCTTTGCCAACTCACCACCCTTTTCCGGATCCTTCATTGCCTCTTCCAGCTTCTGAGCTCTTTGTAGCTCCTTCTCCTTCGACAATCTCCTCTTCTTCTTCTTATTAGATACTGCAATTAGAAAGAACAAAAAGTAGACAATTTTCAGTTCCCATGTTCAATGATGTCCATCATAGTAACTACTGCCATCAATCCAACCTCGAAAAACATTTTAGCCATTTCAACATCTCATGATTTCATATATATAAATAAATAAATAAAATCCCATTAAAATTATAGAGCGGCATATAAATTCTACAATATCACATTTAGTACAAACTAACCTCCAAACATAAATTCTACAATGGCTTGTATTATTAATCAGAAAAAATTGCTACAACAAAATATATGTTGGACCATAGTCATCTACACAATTAGTTAGCACAAGAACAATAAAACAGTAAAGATGTTACAACTTTCGACGATTAAATGATTAACCTTGCTGCAATTTACAAGAATAATAACCAATAATTCAACCGAAACAAGACAAAAATTATCAAAAAAGAAATAAAATAAGTGCAAACAAAAGAGATTTTCCAATAGAAATTCTTACCATCATCACTAGAAGCAGCTAATTTCACCTTCCCAAACTCAATTCCTTTAGCAGCTTCTGAAACTTCCTCCTCAATATCTCTTTCATTTTCTTTATTCTCCTTAACTTCTACATTCTCCTCTCTCTCATAATATCTTCAAGAAGGTTACTAAAGATACCTCATATGGTTTTCCATCCCTGAATTGCAATTTGACAGCCGCATACTTTTTCTTCTTAAGGAGCAGCATCGTCTTGTACAACCCATCCAGATCAATTTCCAAACACCTATGTTTCTTATTAACTTGAAAGAAAACGGAATAATCAGGCTTGGCAACAAAACTGAAAAGCAGAGTAATAAGCAGGAAGCAGCAGTTCAAAGCAGCACATATTGCTGCCTTTCAGAAGCTCACTTCAGTAGCCATATTTTCCTGTCACTGCATATAGAAATTAGATAACAACAGTCCAGGGAAGGAAATGGAAGAGGAAGAGAGGATAGACACGGGGATGGGAGAGGAGAGGAGCGGAGGAGAGAATAGCAGAGGAGAAGAGAGAATGGACTGGTTTAGAAAGAGAAGAAAATTAAATAGATCCCTCCAATTCTTTTTTTTTTTTCCCCTTCAATCCTAAATTTATATCCAACCAAATGAAATATATATGTCACTTAGTCAAATATACTGTAAAACAGTGAATTTGAAACACCACAAAGAAAAGCACTCTCTTAGGAGAAAACGCATCTCCAGAAACATCTCCAATTGCTCAACACCTTTGCTAATTATAAGAGCTTGAATATATGCCAAACTTACAAAATCTGGCATAACATGTTTTATCTCCAAGTGTACATACGAGCAGAATTTGCAAATCACTCCAATTTCATCATCATGAATGAGATAATGCTTCCCTTTAGCGCAAAGCTCCTCTTGCGAAATGGCATCATCAGAAGGAACATCTTCACTGTCACCATCATTGTTATACTGCAGGACAGGTTGCGGACTTTGTGTTTAAGACATGAAAAAATACACTTATATGCAGTGTAAATGGAAGCAGCTATTGCCAAATTGGCCAAAAGCTTGATAATAATTGAAAGCAGAATAATTTAGCACACAAGATGCTTAACCAATTTTGTATGAATAGAAAGTTCTGATAAAACTAAAGCTTAGACAAATTTAAATCTCATTCACAACATGAAAACCGCCTCATTTCCCTTTCCACTTGGATCCCTCGAGACAATGGCCAAACTTTTGGACACGGTAAGCTCACCTAATACAAAAATGAGGAAGGCAAAAGGGAAAAGGAAAAGAGTCTAGCTTCCTTAAGCATACAACAGCAACAAGTATACAGCAATGATAGTATAGCTAAAAGTTTACCTTCTGCAATCCAAATACAAAAAACCCTTGCGTGAATATGATACAACATATAGCAATACAGCAAAAAAGAATGCTCAACCGCTTTACCACAGCACTAAGAGCTCTTGAAATTCACAGAAAAACTATAAGCATGAAAAGACAAGTGCTCCAGTACACCTTTGCTAAAACACCATATTTTAGCAACAAAGCTATATTCCCATCAAACACAATCCTTTGCAACACTAAATCATATTTCCACAACTAATAGAGAATCACATTTTTTAAAAAACTGATATCCTCGTTCATCAAAGCAACAAACCCACCACTGTTCAAAATCCTACAGCAGCCAAAACATGTCAACAATTAGAAAATTCAAGCACACAAGATAAACAACCAATTTTATGCTAAAGCTGTATCCAAGCAAGAGATCAGACTCTAATCCTGATCTAATTAAAAAATCGGGTGCAAACCTCGGACCTCCAGTGAGGTCTATTCAAGGTGGAATGAACCCGAACCCGCCCACTAGGTAGCACAATCAGCACCAATATTGCAAGCTCGAAGAGCATAATCAAGATCATTGAACAAACTTTCAACTTCTAACTCATCTTCTGATTTTTCATGCACAACCAACTTCTCAACACCAAATTTCAATTGTTCATCATTAATAAAAAAATAAAAAAAAAAAACCTAGAGATTTCAAATCAAACAGCACATACCTCGAATTTGTGATTTTTGAATCGATAATTGATTCAAGTTTGTTGTTGTTGTTGTATTTGGTTCACATTGACGGCGGCGACGATGAAGGTTGTGCTTGGTTATGGAGAAGGAGATCGAAAGACAGAAGAAAGGAAAGGGAAAGTGGTGGTTATGGAGAAGGAGATCGAAGGAGAGAGAAGGAGGTTGAGGAAAGTAGTGTTGAGAGAAAGCTCAGAAGCCCCTTCAATGGAGAATGTCGAGTACGCTTCATTGGAGGAGAGAGAGGCAGATGAGAGAGAAGGAAAGAGAAAGAAAGAAGTGCATAACCGGGTTTTTATTTTTTTTTATTTTACAACAGCTTTCACACCGGTTCGAACTGAACCGGTGCGATTTACTCACTTTTTGCACCGGTTTTGTTAAAACCGGTGCGAAAACTCTTTCCCTCAATCCCACCTATTTTTTTCCACACCGGTTTTTAAAAACCGGTGCGCATTTGGCGGTGCCCATTCAAGTTTTTCTACTAGTGCTTGTCAGAATCGATTAGCTTAGTTTATAGTTTCCGAATATTAACTTTTTATGTTTTATACTTATTTGGTATTAAAGATATTAGAAGCCTAGTCAAACATAGTCGACATATAATTTTGAAATAGAAGGAGTACTAATTGTCTATTAGAGACCATGTTGTACAAAAACACTTATGCAAGCAACGATTCTAAATTAGGGCGTGTTCGGCAAAATGTAGCTGTAAAGATAATTGTTAGCTGTGATAGTAGCTGTTAGCTGTGAAAATAAATAATTAAGAATGAGTGTTTGCTAAAGTAGCTATTAACTGACTATTAGCTGTAAAATTCTAGAAATATAGAAGAAAAATTCCAACAGCTATCTAGTTTTTCTTAAAAGCTAATAATATTAACTTTTCACAAAAATTACTCCAACCACTAAACTCTACTCCCACTACTACATAGCCAAACACTCGTATTTTTAACTAAGTAATGGTTTGATTAAGTCTAACCACTAAAAGCTACTCAAACGTCAGTGCCGAACACGCCCTAAATACGAGTAATAAATAATAAGTCTAACTTTAATATACAAGCAACCAATAGTCACATATATACGAAGTATTAATTAAAAACCTAATCATAGTACATCTAATAACAATTTAGCAAGAAAACTAACCATCAAGAACAAGAAATTCAAGCAGATTGTCTTAAATATGATGTAAGAAAATAAGAAAACCAACTTCAATTCTTTTGTTTTTTTTTTTTTTGTTCATGGTCTTAAAACTAGAGACCATTGCTTGCAAAGCCAAAAAATATAGGGGGTTATTTGAGAGGTAAATAGAAGAAACGTTGTGTTTTTTTAGTATTTCTTACTTTTTGAAATCTTTATTGACCTAAAACAAAAATATTCACGCTAAGGTAATCTTTTTTTTTTATCTCAATACCATGAGCTTGAACTAAATCTAAATTTAAATTGATATTGGCATTAACACTCTTGTAAAATTTATTTGTATACTCTGTCTATTTGTCACTTTATACACTTTTTTCCGACTTTTATTTAATCGATATTTTCTTATGCTCTTTTTGTTTTTCACACGGTTTTTTATGATGATTTATACTAGCAACTCCAAATCTTTTTGAAACTAAGGCTCTGTTGTAGCTGTTGTACTAGTATTGGCATTAGAATCCAAATTCGATTCTATTTTTTTTTTCCACCTACATGTAGTGTTATGGTCCCACGTACTAATTGTAGAAAATACTAAGTTATTTGTTCAATTTCAGAATAGTTAGTTTAATTAAATTTTTCCTAAGAAATCAATGCAACATTAACTAACAATCTAAGTTTTGGATTTGCACAAACCGTCAACACAAGCAATAAGCACCTATCCTTATGTCATTAGCTAGCTAGGAAACTTCTTCCTCAATCCATTAGGTGACCTCACTCTCACTCAATTTCCTTATATAAACAAATGTAACCTTTTGTCTATTTTCCACATTTCATACAATATACTACATACCCATATCAATCATAAATTGAGTTCCGTTAGACTAATCATCTTTGCCATGCTCCTCGCGGTTGCTTGTATGTCAAGCACCCTAGTCGTGGCTCAAAATTGTGGTTGTGCCAATAATTTATGCTGTAGCAAATATGGATATTGCGGAAGCACAGCCGAATACTGCGGCGAAGGGTGCCGACAAGGTCCTTGTTACTCTTCAGGAGGAGGAGGTGTTGTTACAGTCCGAAGCTTAGTAACAGACGCGTTCATCAATGGCATCATCAACCAATCACTAACTGTTCTGGTAGGAACTTCTACAGCAGGAATGCTTTCTTAAACGCTCTCAATAGCTATCCTCAATTCGGCACTGGTGGATCCTCCGATGTTACTAAGCGTGAAGTTGCTGCCTTCTTTGCCCATGTCACCCAAGAAACTGGATGTCAGTGTATTGAATACCTTTAATTACCTTCCTACTTGTTTATTAGTCACGAAAGTCTATATTGAACATACCCTCCGTCCCATTATTAAGTGTCCGTTTCTTATATTTTACGGGTTTTAATGCAAATACTAAATGAAATATAAGAAGCATGTGTGAAGTACATTGAAAATAATACTAATAAAAACACAAATTTTCATGTGTGGCCAGATGTGACCAAGGTTACTCAGTCGGTCAGAGATTACTTAGTCAATCGGTCAAGGGTGACCCAATCAGTGTTTTGGTGTGTGTCATCTTGTCACATGGTGTGGTTGGCCACACAAAAAAAAAACGATGTTATGAAAAATACAATATTTTGTTTTCTAGTGGAGACAATAATTAAAAAAAAAGCATGTGAAGTACACATGAGTACCATTTTTAAAGGGTATTTAGAGAAGTTTGGTATGTTAAAAGGTATAAAGTGGGGATATGTAGATAATTATACATGAAACAAAAACAATAAGGATAAATTAACAAGAATAATCCAAACTATTGACTTCCTTCTCATTTTAATCCAAACTATGGTTTAAATCAATATAATCCAAATTGTAGAGGATCCCTTCTCAAATTAGTCTCTCTTACCCATAACCTGTAATATCGTTTAAGTTTTTTTTTTTAGAGAATAATTAACTTTTTATTATTTATTATCACCCACCATTCACCTTCCTTAGGCCCTTCCATAACCAGAACCACCACCCTCAACTCGCGACCACTAACAACAACCCCATATCCATCACCACTGCACCTCCTCTCCCTGCCTCCATCTGCTGCAACTCCGGCGCCCTATTACTCCCCCACC